AATTGTTTTATTGAATGGGTTTAAACTTCATTTCTTTGGCATTACATCACTCAGTTCTTTTAATTCAAGCAGCAGAGGATGACGTTTTCTGATGACATGAGTCAATCCGCAAATAATTTTTCACAAAAGCTTCGCAATCATTGAAAACTTTAATTCTTGCTTTTTTAATGCTTCACGATAGTAGGTCGATGAAAAAGAAAGTTTTAAAACACAGAGGCGGAGCTTCGCATCACTTGCGATGCAAAAAATAAGCCATAATTAGTGCAAAAAATTGACTCATTTATATTCATTAATTATATAATTGTAACATACTAACAGAACAAAAAAAAGAACTAACAGACCGAATTATTGTCAAATACACCTAATTTAATTTTTTATCGAATGGATTTAAACTTCATTTCTTTGGCATTACATCAATCAGTTCTTTTAATTCAAGCAGCAGAGGATGACGTTTTCTGATGACATGAGTGAATCCGCAAATAATTTTTCACACAAGCTTCGCAATCATTGAAAACTTTAATTCTTGCTTTTTGAATGCTTCACGATAGTAGGTCGATGCAGAAGAAAATTTTAAAACACAGAGGCGGAGCTTCGCATCACCTGCGATGCACAAAATAAGCCATAATTAGTGCAAAAAATTGACTCATTTATATTCATCAATTATATAATTGTAACATACTAACAGAACAAGAAAAAAAACTAACAGACCGAACTATTGTCAAATACACCTAATTTAATTTTTTATCGATATTGCCGAACACCTAGGACTTTGTTCAGATCGTCTCATCACTCCACGGACATTAAAACACACAATTAACTATATGAAATAAATTTCTGAGAAAATGTCTCGATAACGACTTTATACTAGATTTTTCACAATTCCGCATACCTTATAACGGTATTTTTTTGAATCAAGCGGTGCACATTTTTCAATTAAGACTCCTGAGATCTGAAAGATAAGCCAGGCAAATGCCGAAAACTATGAAAAACTGCTATATTTGGCAGTGAGTAAGGTACACTTCAAATGCAATGGTTTGTGGTATGGTAAAAAAAAGACGGTTTAGCAATAGGGAGCCTCCCTTGCAGTAATACTGGTCAGTTTGTGGCTCAAAGAATTTTTTTAGAAATAGCTGTTTTTTTACAATAAATACCATGTTTAGTTTTTATTGTTTTTATTTTTCAGTTACTGATGATGTTGCTGATGCAATGACAACGTTTTAACTAACTTGATGTTTTTTGTGAGTTAAAAGAATACGAACCTGCATTAATGAAAGAAGTACCAAATTGACTGTGCTAAAGGAAGATGAGATGGAAGTCTGCCCTGGATGTCAGAAAAAGTTGACATATCAATCTAAATGGGTAAAATGCGAAACTTGGTACCAATTAGGGTGTGGCAGCATATCGGAATCCGAATACGCAAACATCGCTGAAACATGGCAGAAGCAAAACAAATAACAAGAAGCAGATCGGACTAAGAATTGCTTTAAAGTTTCTCTAAGATATGTGGACGATATAATTAGAAAAGTCAAGGGTGATCCTGGCTTGGTCCTCAGGGCTGCCATTAATTTGAACCCAAACTTGCAATTCACTATTGAAGAACTTGACAGTAAAGGTATTCGACCTTTCTGGATTTGAATGTTAACGAGGACCAAGGAAAAGGTCAAATGTGGGTGGTAAATCCTGCCATATCGGATCTAACAAACAAAAACAACAAGAATTAGGCAATTAATTGTTTTGTTTTAATTTAGATGTAATCATTTACTTCATTAAAAGTTATTTATATTGTTCTTCAAATAGACGTCGCGTCGATTATACACAGAGGCGAAGCGGAGCTTTGCACCACTTGCGATACAACACTAACAAAAAAGCATAAAAAGCCGGAAAAAAAAGAAAGTTTTCGAAAAAACTGGGTCATAAAAAATTTTCAGAAAAAATCACAAAAAGCGTCTTATCTCGTTAACTAAAACGATTCGGGCATTCAAATTTGGAGGCCAAATTTACAACCCCTAATTCGATATTGGGCTGCTTAATTTAAACTCGGTTAAATAACCACTAAAAAGTTTGGAAAATATCCGGGGCACAAATAATTTTTACAACAAGAAAATTAAAAACATGCTTGCCATCCCTCAAAACTTCCTTTGCTCGTAAACTGAGATCCAAAGTGGTGTATAAGCTTACATGTAGCGGATGTAACTCCTCCTTGCCTTTGTCAACCAGTCAGTCCGAAATTTAGTCACGAGGGTCGATGAGCACCGCAAAGAGGACTCCCCAGTAAAGCAACACTTGTTAGAATGTAATAAGGAGGAAGGCGGTACTGCTCAGCTGAAGTCAGAGATTATAGACCAAACTGCCGATATTCAGAAGCTACTCAGTCTAAAGGCTTTGCATATTTTGAGGGAAATCGGCAGATGCGATGAATTCAGGAGCCACGAACTAACACCAAAAGTATAGTCCATGTATAACAAGGCTGAATTTCAAAAAACTGACACATCAGAATCGAAAATATTCTCAAATTGAAGTTTTATAACAATGAAAGAACAAAAGACCGAAAAATCTCAGAAATTTACAGGAAAAGGTTAATAATGAATGTTAAGTAATACAATTCATTAATTTTGGATGGTCAAACAATTTTAGAGCATTTTTAGACATTTTTTTTTTTCAATTTTCTAGATCTTTGATCGTTTTGTATAAATTGTAAAATTATCATCCTGCTGATGCACAAAATATGCGAAAACATTCGAATTAATATTTTAAAATTCTTATATATTTCCACAATGGATTTTTCACCGACTTCTACTCCACATAAATATGAATATATATGAATTTGCTTTTCAAAAACTAACCAATTTATATTTTTTACTTACAATTTTTTGATATTTTTTAATGTCGTTTATCTCCATTATTCCTTTAGATTTCCTCAATAGCTTCTCAAAGTTAGAAAATAAAATAATAGAAAAAAATTCATGAATCATTTCAGTAAGTGCTAACCAAATGCAGTAAACTCAAACTTGCTAAATCAAATTCATAACCAAGACAAAAATTAGTAATTTATAGCAGTAAAATTGTCAGAAAATATTATAATATAATACATGAGTAATAAAATGGCATATAAACAACACTTTTATATGGACTAGTTTTTTATTTTCTGCAAATTACCTCTTGATTTTGCCCACTTTTACTCAAATTGATTAAAACTTTTGATAATTTCGCATGACAATTGTAGCAAGTAAATGAATTTCTATTTTCAGAAACTAAATGATAACGGCTTTAAACAGCTTTCACACAATTCAAACATTCTTTTTACCCGGGTGTAATTAGTAACTAAACTAAAAATCACCAACGCAGCTTACTAACACCGCCACACTATCAACATGAACAAGAAAATACCACTATGCTTAAGCCAGATCAAATTGAATAAATTTTTTTTAGGTACACAAAACATTTTTTATTACAATCACATGTAAATCTTTAGACGCCCAAGGTTGGCACAAATCCAGCACAACTTATTTTTAAGCAATAGACAACACCACAAATAAACAGCAAAAAAAAACAGTTACCGCAAAGAAAAGAAAATGTTATACATTTAAAACACTCTACTTGAAGAAACACTCACAAGTATATTCCAAGTGGCCTAATTTACCAAAGAAGGGCGTCATGAGCATGCTCTAGAGCCGGCCTCTCAAACTGCGATAGATCACGCTTAGAATCAACGAACTCAATTTTTCCTAGGAGCGGCTAGAGGTTGAACTACTCTTCAAAATAACCCAATTAATGAAAAGCTTCTGTGGAAACATCTAATAAGATCATAATTAAAACTGAATTACTAAAGTGCAGAGAAAAATTTGTTAAAGATTTCACAGTGCATATTACACGAGCATCAAAAAGGAGATGAACACTCGAAGACATTTCAACTATGGAATGGCAAAACTATTGGTTTTACTTGTCGCACTCACAGCGCTCACTGGATATCAAGTGTGGAACTCACATGGCGGCAAAGTTATTCATTGGAACTGAACAATGGCTAACTCCATGTCAAAATCAAACATGCATATCCTTTCCACTTGGTGCCTCACTCAGACAAATTTTTCATCTCGCAACTCTTACGACTGCGAGCGAATAGTAAGAATGCACGTAGAATTGCTCTGACCTACAAAATCGGCACCCTTCAGACACACATCTGCACTTTAACGCGATCTTTACGGATTCACAACAATCCCTCAACATCATCACATGTACTTCGCAGGCATATTCATTCTAGACTCTACAATTTTCCCCATGTAATTTAGAAGACAATGCATCCATCCCTGACAAAAAAACTTTGAAATATAAAACTTCCCAATCCGCTTTAGAACGGAACCAGCTTAAAACAACTATTGTTTATACTCTAATTTTTCTCACTGCAAATTGATAAAATCTAACCAATCATGATTCATAACTAAACCTTACGATAAATTCTGAGGCTGAAATTTCACATAATTTCAGCCAGAGAAAAAAATAGTAAATATACAAATCAGTTGCTTTCTTCTCTCCTTTACTTCGCGATAAACCAGTATATCACTAGATCTATTGACACTAGGAAAAATAAGAGTTAGGTTAGGATTCGTATTAGACTAACGAGTTGCACCAACCTATCCGGATGAAAATAGATAGCTTACGAACAGACGGTGTACTATTATCCACGCCGAACTAAACTCACGTACTGTTGCAAAGGAGCGTTCGTTTTTTTTCAGTGGAGTGCAGGGGCGTATCAACTTTTTCGTAATCACCAGGAAAACATTCCCAGTACTAAAAAAAGTACGACCAATTTTTTCAATAAAGCTAAAATTTTCGAGGTTTTATATTTTGTTGTCGGTTTTCCATTTCTTCAAAGTATTTCACTGGCTTTCATGATCAACCGCTTCAATCATCCTGGCTTTTCCTAGATACTCAAGAGACGCAGAAGTTCTGATACTTTCTGATAGCATGGAATTGATATTCTTATTGAGTTTTGTTTCTGAAGACAGTTTTTCAGCTTTAATTAGTAAAAATGAGACGCGAGTGCAACTTGAGTTATATCTATATTGTAATTTTTCAGAGCTATAGCGTTAAAAGTAACGAGTCGCATTATCATTAGTTTCTCATTCAATGAGAGTTTGTGCAATTCGATCGATAGCTACTGAAGTCTTGGGTGAAATTTATGGATTGTTCAATCTTCTCGATTTTCTGGTTTCTCGCTTATGGTCGCTGGTGGCATCTGCCATGGAGCCGCCGGGTAATTATTAAGCGGAGCAGTGAGTGCAGGGTTGTTGCTGTAGTCTGGGGGAGAAGTCGACGGGTAGCTGAGTATCGGGGGAGGGACTACTGTCATTTGTGGGTTCTGTTGGTATGCCGCTGTCGGGTCCTGTCTGTTGGACTGTCGGTCTAAAAGTTTGAGCACAACATAAGCAATCGTGAAATTCAAAATGAGTCAACATTTCTTAGGTACACGGAACTTAAAGAGCAAAATGGGATCTCTTCACACCTATGGTACCTAGTAACGAATCTCCCCCTTTTGCAAAGGGAGGGGTAGATAGTTAAAGATATCCGCAAAATGTAAGCAAAAAAATCAAAATCAAAAGTATTTTTCCCTGAGCGGGGATTTAAGAAAAAAATATCCTGCTTTTTTGACTATGTGTTTGGACGCTTGAATTTTTTTTACTATAAAAAAACGTCTCCGCTAAAACAACCCCCACTCTAAATTACTCAAGAGAACAATTCCCTCTAAAGGAAAAATTGTATAGCACTACAACATGCAAAATTCTGACTTGAATGCTGATTGAATGTTTTTCACCCCTGCCAAACATCTCCCCCTTATGGCTTTTGGGGGCTTTTTCCAAAAACCAAAAAAAACATAGTACATGTTATGAAATTAATGAGTTATTACATGTTATGAAATTAATGTTGGGATTATTGTGCTTTTAGCGGACTATCTGTAATACTTTCTGACTGCTCTTTTATTTTGATCAATATACGCACTGGCTGCTCGGACTGCACAGAATACGACGAGAGCAACAGCTCCCAGGCATCCTCCGCAACACAGCAGAACCATACAGATAAACAGGATCACACCGCCACTGAAACAATCAAACTTTTTAATACTTCGAAGATGCAGTTCCCTGGTGGCGCAGAAAAAAGTGATCTAGTTGTAGCGCATCGGTAATTTCTCTATTACAAAGCATTATTAACAGATGAATTGCAACTTTTTTCATCAAAATTCAAAATTCAAAGCTGTGGTGCTCGTTTCAGTTGCTACTTCTAAATGCACTCACAAACTGAAAATGTTGCGATAAAAAATCCATGTAGTGCGTAATGTTTTTAATTATTATCGCAAACAGCGGCATGTAGAGTTACGCAGTCCGCATATGAAAAAATCCAGACTAACTTCCATTTCAACCCCCCCCCCCCTTTTAGAAGAACTACACGGTCAGCTTACACAGTGATGCAGTCGTCTTCGTCTCTGCACTCCCCGTAGCAGCAGGTGTCCTCGCCCTTCAACACATTTCCCCACGTGTTACAGTCACTGTCGAGGTGACACTCTCTGCGACCTCGGGTGTGGCCCTCGTCGCCTTCGTCCGAATGGACATGCTGCACGAGCACAGCCACAAGTACCAAAGCAACCACGACTGAAGTAAAATAACAAACACAAAAACTTACACTTTTGACCACTTAAGATTATTTTACCCAAGAACTATTAAAAGTTTTGATATTTTTCAGAGGGATCCCAATCTTTGTGACACATTTCACGAATTCACGATAACTCAACTCAAAAGCATTCCCTATTAAAGTTCTGTGAATTTTTTGGTACATTTTTCTCTGCCCTTTTGATTATCAGAAGTTTGAAAACTTTTGAATCTAAAAAATCTAGCATTTTTCATTTCGAACTGAAAAAATCCCCTGTGTGAAGTATTCTATATGTCAGGGGCGTATTTAGGGGGGGTGAGCGCGCGCCATAAAAACGCGATTTTTTGAATAATTTTTTTTTTCGTAAAAGTGCCTAAAAACTCATTTTTTGGCCCGTTTTTCTTTAAAATTTGCCTCCGGCGCGCAAAAATTGGCCAAAATAGGGACAAAAGATTGCTTTGGAAGAGCTCGAAAAATCAATTTAGTCGAACTAAAAAAAGTCGACAAAGTTTTCGAAAATTTTGGAAAATCCGCCCCTGCTATAAGTAAGCTAAGTAAACTATAAGTTAACCATTCTCCCATATGTATGAGCAAAAATTAACTTACCAACAGTTACCGATTTGGAGACCATTTTATAGTTAGTTTTAAAACCTCCAATAGTTTATGTTTGGTCAAACTCAATGATTCTGAATTGTGATTTCAAATGTAATGGTAAGTGGCTGAGAGCAAATAAAAAACAGCAAGAACAAAATTTCAATGGCTTCAATTGTTTTGGCTCAACGTAAAAATATTCTATGCTTAGAGCTCTTCAGAATCTAATTCCTCTATTTTTTGCAGCTGCCGCAAGTTTCTAATGACGTCTATCTTCAATAAAAGCACGATATTTGGTTTTTTTTTATCGCATGGACTCAAAATATGCAAAAACGGTACTAAATTTGCAGTAAGTGCGCTTTTAAGAAAGATTGTCTAAGAAGAATGAATTTGTTCACAACTTCATCTTTTTCACAATATTCGGAATTTGAAAAACGCGCAGAAACAGATACACTTTTGTTACAGCTCTTAAACTCATTAGTACGAGTAGGTTTTGTGCTATTTGGTCTTTTTGCGCTAAATAATGAAACTAGAGAATCCATCAGCCGGTATTGTTGAGTAATAAAGAGATCTTTCAAAAGAACTTTCTGCTTAAAAGCGCAAAAACAAGGGACAAAAATGAGAAAGAGAGCCTGCAGCAGACTATAGTTTTGTCTTTAACAAACCATGCATGAGAGACGGAACCAGAAACAATCAAACCTAGCAAAAAAATCAGAAAAAAAAACTAGAGGACTTTCGGATCTACTTAAGAAAGGGGGGGGGGGAATTGTTAAGTACATTAATATAACGCATTTTCGTCCAATCAGATTGCAGCAAAATTAGAAGTCTCAATACAAAGCTCTAGCGCTAACTTACTGCTTTTATTAATAGGGGTGGCAATTCTTAAGTAGGTACCAAAGGGAGGGCAATTGTTAAGTAGATCCGGACTTTTTTATATTCTGAACCTAAATGACGCAATCTGCTTCGAACATCAAACAAAAAAGGAAAGGACAATCTTTTGAAACCCAATATCGGCTTTAGAGGTGAAATGACGGGCTGTCACCGGGGGCGGATTCAGGTTGGGAGGGGACGCATTTTTTTCAGAGGTTGCAACTGATATCATCTTATTAATTTCTGATTATGCCGTCTTACGAATGAAAGATTGTGCGTCGATTGGTTTCAGTCTAATCCCTTTGTTTTTCGCAAGCTTTTGTAAAATTATCAATGCCTTTTTCTCTTCATCGAGCACGTATGATGAAATCTTTTGAACCGAGACGCATTGGCAGTGAGGCTTGCCTGGCAAACTTTGCAGGTTCAGAATCTGAGTTTGCGCTGCAAATTTCAAGCCAGACTCTTTTAATCCAGCCATTATCCAGGTTGACCGCCCTTATAGCTCAACAAAGCTTCAACACAAAGGTCATGGGTTCAAATCCCACTTCCGTCCGTCTGGTAGCAGCAGGGTGCCCAATTTCATGCTCTTTCTCATGTTGGGAACAAGTACGGCAAAATTCCTGCAGTGGGTACTGCAGGGGACAGAAAAGAGTGGCTTGTCCGCTGAAAACTCATCCTGTGGCTGAAATATATTTACAACGGTTCACGTAATATAACAAGACTGCTCGTACCAGGGCGACGCCCTGATGTTCCAACTGCCTTTCAAATTATATGGAGCAGTTATAAGATGAAACAAGACTGTTTATGGAGCAGTAATAACAAAATTAAATGTAAAAAAAAAAATTTATCTAAACTTTTTTTTTAAAATAAAAATCATCCCCCACACGCCATATGAAGTACAAAATGATAGATTTTGCTCCTCTTAACAACTCAATTATGGCAAATAAGCTTCTCTCAACCAAATTTGGAACGATTTCTAAGACGGAATAACTCTCCACTTACGCGTTAATAGCGCGAAATATATCGCGCGTTAATTGTCCCAAATTGGACGGAATGTTAATCTTTAAACCCCAATAATTTTTCGAAAATTGATCACAAGTGTAATATGTTTCAAAATTTAAGCTCAAGACAACAATACCTTTCGAATGATGCAGAAAAATTTTGTCAAAAATGGCTAGTTAAAAAGTCGAAATTTGTCTGAAGAAAAAAAACCCACCCCGAGTACCAATATTCCGTTACTTTCGTATCGAAAGTGGGAACAAAAATTAAATTAAATAAAATAAAATGAAACAAATATATATTTAAAATTAGGATCATTATCACACACGCCATATAAAACATAAAGTGATAGATTTCGCTCCTAGTAACAAATTAATTATGGCAAATAAGCTTCGTTCAGCCAATTTGGAACAATTTGTAAGACGGGTTAAATCTCTGCTTACGCGTTAATAGCACGAAGTATATCGCCTGTTAATTGTCCATAATTGACCAAAATGGCGGCCTTTTAATCGCCATAATTTTACGAAAAATGATCACAGGGGAAATATTTTTTCAAATTTAACCTCAAGACAACAATACTTTTTGAATGACATAAAAAACCCCATCAAAAACGGCAGGTAAAAAAGTCAAAATTTGTCTAAAGAAAAAAACCACAACCACAACGAGCACAATTAATCGGTAACTTTTTTCACAATAGCCAGAACTATACGCTGAATTTGGGTAGTCGTGTTTGGGGCTGCTATAACAGCCAAAAACTTGAATTCAATGCAAAACTAACCATTAAGAAATCAATTCTGTTTTTCAAAAAAAAAACAATTTTAGACAAACAGATTTTGTGCTTCAACAAAAAATCAAGCTCCATTCCGTGTCTAGTTGGGTTTTTACATTACAAAAGCCATTCGAAAATTGAAACCTTAACAAAATTAAAACAAAAAGCCAGGTCGACGTCCTTGAATTAGTTTAAAAGCATAGAGATTAGCATTGACAAATCAAGATCACGTAATACAAAATACTTAAATTTATCAATTTTTATTCGGAGCTGCTATAAAAGCCAAAATTTCAAATTGTATGCGAACTTTTTGTTCCGACTTTCGTAACAAAAGTAACGGAATATTTGTGCTCGGGGTGGGTTTTTTTTAGACAAATTTCGACTTTTTAATGAACCATTTTTCACGGAATTTTTTTATATCATTCAAAAGGTATTGTTGTTTTGAGTTTGAATAAGAAAAGGTATTTTACCTGTGATCATTTTTCGTAAGGTTATGGGGATTTAAAAATTGCCATTCTGGCCAATTTGGGACAGTTAACGCGCGATATTAAAGCGTAGCGGATATTTAAACCGTCTTGAAAATTGTTCCAAATTAGTTGAAGGAAGCTTATATGCCATAATTGATTTGTTACTAGTAGAGAATTATATTACTTCTTTATTTTTCTATGACAAGTGAGGGATGATTTTCACACAAAAACCTCAATTTAAAAAAAAATCCTTTTATTTTATCACACTTAATTTTTTCATGTTATTTTTTAAAGGCAATCTTTGAAAGGCAATCGGAGCAGTCAGGGCCTCGCCCTGATTCGAGCAGTCTTGTTTTCATTTATAACTCAAATTTGATATAAAAAGCAAAAGATTTTAGTGGAACGGATTTGGAGCTTGAAAAAAATCAACCTCCATTTCTTGTGTGGATGGCAATTTTATAATATAAGAAAGGTTTGGAAAAAGAAATCGAAACAAAAAACAAAATCTAAAACAAAAAAGTCGGGAGTACTGAATCTCCAGAACTGATTCAGTACTGAACCAGTTTATGGCTTATCTAGACATTGTAAAACCAGGGTCTGATTTGTGGCATATATTCTCCCAGTAAAAGTTACTACTGATTTTCGGAATTTTTAGAAAAAAATCCCAGCAGGCATCGAACCGCAATCTATAAACATATTCAGACAATTTCCTTCTGCTCCAATGTCCTTAATCAACAATGATACGCTGATAAAATTTTTTATATATTTAAAAAATATCGGACTGACAAGTCCCCAACAAATTGACAAGTCCCCATCAAGTTTGATGCAGATTTTATTATGACTCACTTTTTATTGATAACGAAAGAGTTATTTTCAGCGCTAAATCATCAAACCGGTTGTGATGGAAGTTAAACACAGGATATCAAAAAAAATGAGAGTGAACAGTTCTTAAATAGTTTTAAATCAAAACGAAGAGAAAATCTAACCCCTAAAATTTAAACCAATTAGTTTTTCGTTTCAAACTTTGAAAGCTCTGTGCCTTCAGAACTACATTCTATTCAGTAATTCTAGATATCAGAAACAGATTCTCTGGTACACATTTAAAATTACACAAAGAAAAACAATTTAGTTGTGCTTCCTAATATATCTCTTAGCAATCATCTTGTTATTCAAATTCATCTATAGAAGCACTTAGCATAGTGGTAAGGCGTGTTTTTGAGATTGAGTGTTGGATACCGCACTCTGGTCCATTTCGGGTGCAAACGGATTGAACTCCCACTTCCGTTCATGGCACAACGAATAACCCACAGAAAGTCTTCCTAAATCTCAAATTAAGAAAAACAATTTCAAAGAAACTTGTGCTTTCCCGTTCAAAAGTAACCACTAAGTAAGCAACACCACTTTAAACGGTGCTCTATTGGTTTCGACTTTTAATTTTGAACTGAATCAAACTTTAGTTATAAAATTACCCGCTAAGTTCCGTTCCAAAATTTGTTTTGTTACCGTTTCCAAATGATTAGAGCTCGTAGTATAAAGTTTTTTTTGTGGGTTTACTAGTGTGTGCAGTGCTTATGACTAACCATTCATGTTTCACATTAAACCTATATACACTAGTGGACAAAATCAGCGCAAATTCAAAAATTCAAGTTCTTACTCTCTAAATTGCCAGTTTGCAATGCCCATTTTGACAACGCTTAGTTCAGTTTTCAGCAAAATTTTTTCATAGACCAAACGCAATAGATCAGAGCTACCCTCTATGAAACCATCAATAATTGGTTTCAAAAACTTATTATCTTTGTAATTCGAGTCAGAAAACGGCAGATTTCCTCATCTGCACTACGTTTTTCATTAGTGAATTCTTTCTCGAAGAACCGAAGTAAAACTGTGATGATGCGACGTGAAATATTCTACGCGAAAATATTGAAGTAATCTGCGGGAAAATTTTACTAAAATTGGCTTTTTCTTGCTTTTTCACGCGGATTGAAATACTTAGTGAAGATGAGAAAATCTTGCATTTTCAAGTTAAAATCACATTGGTAAGTCAATGTTGAAATATTCATAAAAGGTACCTCTTTATTTATGTAAAAGTTTTGCTGAAGAACGAAGTAAATGTTGTCCGAAATGGACATAGAAAGCAGTGCTAATTTCTAAAATTTTACATTTTAAAAAGTAAAAACCTAAACGTGTGCTAAATTTTGCCCACTAGCGTAAATATTGTACTCTGATCTATTTAATTGATCAAACAACTCTATAAACTGATCAAAATCAAATTGTCTTCAACCTAGTTTTGCGTTTACCCGTATTTACCCAGATATCTTTAAGACCTTTGAAATTCAAAAGGACTAAATTTTAATATTGAACTAGTTGCCCGAGTAAACCTCAAAAATTAT